TAGGGTTTTTGACTAGCCCAGGAAGTTGCCCAAATCGACCAATGAAGTGTTAGAACTACTTGCGGGTAGTTAGGAATACTACTTGGAAGGTCGACTGAATATAAAGAAAGAATGGGTTAAAAAATCATGTCTGGAACCGAAAAATGAGTTGTCTTGAGCTCCTTGGAGTTATCCTCAGGAAGAATCAGCATTTTCCAGTTTTCAACATCTATGAATATGAAGGTCTCCAGAAGTATATTGGCCCAGCTCTGTTGTAAGTATAGAATTATTATCTATCTTCATCAATTAATGTAGTTTAGTAGTAAAGGATATTCATGTTTATATTAGAGAAATATATTCTATATGTACTAGTCATTGGTGCTGATTAAACGTAACAGTAAAGGTTATAAAGATTAGTAAAATTTTGACTATTATTGTATGCTATGTGAACAAATTTAGTAAATGTTGTTATATTTTGTTCAGTGTTAGTCTTGGAATCTGATTCTTTATTCTAACTGTAAAGTACCTCGAGTTAGCGACTTGTGAGCTTCTCTCGACACTGCAAATTCTCAACTAAATAAATTTGGTGTAATTGACAGTATAATTGAAGCTCCAACAATTTGCCCTAAGAGCGCTGCCCGTTACACGTAAATATGGCACAGACGTAGTGCTATGTTTGAGGAGAGAAAAACATATTTGCTACCTTCTTTCAAGTTGTTTATTTGACTTATGCCATGCATCATAGTGATAAGTCGTAATATTATGCAATGATATTCGTAAATATAAACAAAAACGAGTGATTTCGGATGAAAGATTATTATCTGTTGATAATTTTAGATATATATATCGTGTAAACATCTAAATAGCATCAAACGAAATCAAACTGGCTTAGTTAGTGTTTTAATTATTTCAACTCTTGTTGGGCCTCAAATCAAATTAAGTACCTTTATTATTCACTACCATCAATAAGCAAATTTGTTTTAGTTGGAAGCAACATTTGACAAAGCTTAGCGATTGTAGAAATAGCAACAGAGCCTAGTAGTCTTGTTACTTTATATTATAAAAGTAATATGCTATGTTGTGTATTCTTCAATCTGTAACTTTTAGCTTCACTCTATTACAAAGCATATGATTAATGTCGTAACAGTATTAGACCCAACTGATTGTTTGTTTGTTTATTAGTTAAGCACAAAGCAGTTTCTAGCGTTGTAAGCTCGCAGACATACCTTTCAGTCTGTGCCACTGGGGGGGGGGGCAGACCCAACTGAAAGAATTACCCCCCAGTGGCATAGCGGTTTGTCTGCGGATTTACAAAGCTAGAAGCCGGGTTTCGATATCCGTGGTGTGCAGAGCACAGATAACTCTTTGTGTAACTTTGTGCTTAACTACAAACAAACCAAACCGAAGAAGACTAAAACTAAATAGATAAGTTATTTCGTCATTATGTGTGTTGAAATTCATACAAATGTTTGAATTTTCAAGGAGCTAAAAAAACAAACAGCATGTAGTAAATTACAGGACTTAAGGTCATCACTACATACGTCCTATATGAAAACATTAATTTGTATATAAAAAATCATTATAATAGGTTTTGAGTAATATACAAAAATACTAGCAGTTGGTTCAAAAACAAACACAGCTAAATATAAATAAAACTTCAATGGAAGGGAAGTGTTTATCTTTGTACTAAATCTGACATTATCTTTTCAAATGCGTTTACCAATTTTCTCTGAAGTTTATTATCTTTGTAATGGATATCTCATGAAATCCAATACAAGATATATCGTTAAAAATGTTTTTCATTGAGAGATGGAAGCTTTATTAAATTGTTCATTTCATTGGCCTTATCCCACACATTCTTACGTTTTCATAAGTTCACTTAGTTTCAAGATTGCTCACTTAAGTTCAAGCTCTTTAATAAAACTTTGTTTTAATACTTTAATTTAAGAGAAAAAAAAAACAAAAAACTGAATCGAATTAAAAAGATTAAGCTGGTTTATGATACGAGCCTTCTACACTTCATTTTTCAATGAGGAAGATGAAACATGTGAAGTTGCAAGAATAAAATTTGGATATTTGTTGACTGTTAGGAGTATTTTACTATAATTAAATCTAACGGCCAAAATAATTAATCACAATATCTTTTTAATTTCATTCTCTATCAGATAGACCACCACTTTGAGCTAGAAAATGCAAACAAATCGTTCTATAACATAAAGAATAAGTACATTTCCAACGTTACCAGTCTTTTATTAATTTTTCTTTTTTTTTTTCTGTGGAGCATAAATTGCAAGTATTCACTGGGTGAATCAATGACGCAGTGTTTGAGTTATATACCAACAACTTTGTAAGTAGTTATCCGAACTTATCCTGTTCCTGCAATAAATAATAGTTAGCATATATAATTTTATAGTAGTTAATCTAATGATATAAATAGAAGGGAAAAATGAACAAAACTGTTTGAAATAGATGCTTTTATCATTATGCGTGCATAAAAAAGGAAACAACTTTAATTACAATTAAAATGCTTAAAATTAGTGTTTACGCATTAAATATAAAGATACTCGGAAAGTTTATAGTCTTACAGCGTTTAAGGTCGAAGTTCGATTCCCCGCGGTGAACACAGTGAATTGCCCAGTATGGCTTTTTTTTAAAACAAATTAACGATATTACGTTTTGTATAGTGTTCATAATAAAGATATATGAAAAACTAAATATTCTTACGAAATTGTATTGCTAAATTAACAAACAAAAACGATTGTAGCTTTTTGTTGTTGTTGTTGTTTTAAGAAAACAACATTTGCAACAAGTATATTTTCCCGATTAAAACTTCGGAAAATGAATAATACTCAAGAAAGGTGTATGATACAAATTGATTACATACGAGCCGAATACATGTGATAATCTTTGTTATAATGCACGCTTTTTGGTCAAAAACACGTTAGAGATTAATGTTATATTTGTTATTTTAATATAATAATTTGTTGGAAAGGATTTCTGGCAATAATAATTTGTATTAGAATGAGCCGTCATATCCATGGAGCTTAAGTTTTTAAATGTTAATTCTTATTGAAAGCTCATTTCTACATTTATATTTAAAGAAACACGATTTGCGTAACACGTGTTAATCATTTGACTGAAATATTTCTCTCTCTTTTTAAAAAATATATGTTGAATATTTAACAGTTAGAGTAATACATTTTAACTCTCCAATTAAATGCCATTCTATCGTTGAGCTGCAGCAATTAATAAAATTAAACTAAAATAAAGAGATTAATCATAAAATCTCAGTCCATAATATCTAAAAATAATGTTATTTTTTCTACATACGTAACATGAATAAATTATAGTAGTTATTTACGTTTCATTGTTTAACCATTGTCTATAATCATATTCAATGTACGTACTGTAATTTTTTTTCAGTTGAATTTCACTAAATTTCTTTTTTCTAAAAAACAATGTAAACAATTACGTAGAGCTTATTTAAAAGCAAAACAAGACTACTTTTAAAATATATTCTAATTTCATTAGTATCAGAATATTTTGAAGTTCCACTTTTGGATGATTATCAAAAAATGATGTTTTTGTTTATTCAAATCTGCACTTTGTTACGGAGAGTATGTAAAAAAAAGCGAAGGTTGCAATTTTGCTTGTCATAAGACATTAGCATTAGACCTCTTTCATTTTTAAATACTGCGTTCCTTATCTATCCCCTTCAGGAGTTTCAAGAGTTTGAAGAGTGTGTAATAATAGTGTTCTAATCACACTATATTTATCATATCCATTGCCGACGATGCGTTTCGCTCAATTCAGAGCTCTTCAGACCGGCTGTGATACAACAAACATGGCAGTGATCAGAACACTAATTGTATAAGCCAACTGATACAACAATATTTGTCCTGGGAAATTTATTACAACATGAATGGATAAACAGGAAGCTAACTAGTTTACTCTGCAGAAATTCATAAATTGTCATTTATGAATTATTATAACGTGAAGTGCACTGAATTCTAGACTAAAGTCTTGCTTTTAATACAGTTTAACATTTACCAGATTGTGAGAGTTCCAACGTACTAAGGTAGGTAAGTGGTAAGTTTACGGACTTGTCAGGTTAAAACCCGGGGTTTGATTTTCTGTGGTGGAGAAAATATAGATAGGCCATTAATTGTGTAGTCTTGCGCTAAAAAAGAATTACAACAAGTGTTCCAACTTAGTATTGTCTTCATTCACAAATACACTTTAAAATTAAATTACTGATATCTCTTAGCTATACCAGTATCACATTTATAAAAATATAGAAAGTGAATGTAAACATCGCCAAACAACATAATACCGTGTTGAATTAGGAAATTGGAATTTCCTGCAGCGTAGGCAATGCTAGACTGAAATCTCCTATGAATTATGCCTGTCTTGAGCCCCCCGTAGCACAGCAGTATGTCTGCGGACTTACAACACTAAAAACCAGGTTTCGATACCAGTGGTGGGCAGAGCACAGATAGCCCTTTGTGTAGCTTTGTGCTTAACTTCAAACAAACAAACAAACAATGCCTGTCTTGATTCTTAAGATGGACAATGTTTTGATATATATAGATACATGTATGCTAAAGCCTTTTCCAGAGCAATCTCAAATAAATTCAAGCCATGAATAAGTCTGCAAGATGCCTCAATATACATTCCAAACTTACATCCACCAATAAATGGTATTCCATGATTAATTACAGCTCTTCGTCAAAATATATTTTAAAAAATTCGTACATAAGTAATTCACATAAGGCAAGCACTGAATTGAAATTTCATCATATAACAGTAAACTTAATTATGCCATTTTTCTTACATTTCATGAAACCTTTAAATAATGTTACTTGTGCTTATATAAAACATGCAGTTTGTAGATATACATAAATTACTTCTAAATCTCATCATTTTTTTATTTATTTGTATTTGTAATAGATGTACTCGTTAATCATATTACATTGGATATTTACGATACCACCTACATCAAGCTAACTTGCGTGAGTATTAGTAACTATTACTGTTCGTCATGGCGGCGGTTTTACAGGATCACGAGGAGAAAATTGAAAAACAAAATGGAAAAAGTACTGATGAAATTGAGGAAGGCGAAGAACCTATTAAAGACGTAGAAGTTCCTAATGAAGATGCCACTAAAAAGAAGAAAAAGAAAAAAAAGAAGAAAAATACAGGTACTTGAAGACAAATACCGCCGTCTATGTACTAGTATTAATAACTTACTAATTAGGCCTAAACTCTTTCTAAAGACTACGGCAGTGCTACTGCTAGCACTAGTGTTAGTAACTATATGGACAAAAAGTTAGAGGTTATTGTTAAACTTAATTGTGTAAATAGTCTACACTTACAAGTTACACACTAGGAATAGAACTAATTTATAATAGGCAGGAAGTAGTCAAAATATACGAAAAGTTATTTAAATTAGAAATAAAATATGGGTATGAATCATAACTATTCTAATTTGTCGTACTAGTAGTCTTGATTAGCCTATATCATGAAGTATAGGAATTGAACAGTGAAACTGAGACTAAATTTCTTATATCTACATTGTCCCACAGGACTTGCAGTACCAGGTCATGTTTGCATGAATGAACTGTTTTATAAATTATAGTTATTTTATATTTCAAACGCCTCTACATTTATAGAAATGGGACAATTTAGTATTCAAACTGAATTTCACAATTAATATTCCAGGCATAATACACTCCTAATAGTAGTACTATCCATAATCATGAATCTCCTGAAACTTTTTCTGACAAACATATTAATACAGATGTAATATCAGTTAATTAAAAAAATGTTTTTTTGTACATGTATGATTCTTGTTAACAAATATCATGTAGACTGTAAATTGTAATGAAGATGTATTCTATGTCACAGTTCAAAGAAACTATAAATTATATTTCCCCACTTTTGTGACTGCAAAAGTTTATTATGGTGTTGATAAGTTGTGGGTAATAAAAAAAAATATTCACATGTGAGAAACATAGTGGAATACATTGTGAAACTTAGTGATCTTAGTGGAGGAAATCACAATGAGTGAGAACTATATGGTTTGAGGATTGAGGACTTAATCCTAATTTCAGAAAGTTCAGAAATATGGAATACATTATACTTCCAGAGCTTTCTTACTTGATAAGGGGAGATAGCATTATTAGAGGGAGAGCAGATTAGGAGAAGAAATGAAGGAAGCAAGATAGAATAGAGTTAGTTATAACTTTTAACAGTGGTTCCACGAGCCGGGGATACTACTTAGAGGCCATTTTGCAGATGCGGTTAGAAAAAGTCATTCCGGAAAAGGGTTTTGACCCCAGATTTAGCAATAACATGATGTAAAAAACATATTCTGAAAAAATATTGAGTAGAAGTTGAGATATGATTGATTGAATATACGGACTCCATAGTACTAAAGACAATAATAATGTATGATTTGTGCTATGCATTGGCATGATTAAAAACTTCTTATTCTTTTGTTTCAATGCAGAAACAAAACTCATTACTTGCTTCATCTCAGGATAATTTGCATCATTTATTTGAGCAGTAGTGTGATTTCTGAATTGCATTAATGCCATCTTGGGTCAATTTCATAACCAGATTCAGCCAAAATTTGACTGATGACCATTCTGAATTGCTCTGAATACCTCTGATTTTCATTGAGATAGTTCTGTGCTTCTTATATTTGGATGTCAAAACAAATTTCACTGACAAATTTCCATTTCACTTGGCAAATCAAGGTGTTCAGGATATTTCTGGTGTAAGATTTTGAGCATATGACCCAGTCCAATTTTATTCCATTTGTCTTCTACACCTCACATGTACATTTTGTCTATCTCTGCTTGGACATGTTCATTGTACCTAGCACCATACACTTTTCCATAAGCAGGTCACTTACCCCACCCAAAACCAAATAATTCTGGTACAAAGTCGGTATCATCGTATTGTAAGTCATGAGCATCAGAAGAAATATTTCCACAGATTTTCGTATCAATGAAGAACTTGTCCTTGGTCTATTAGCATTTTGGCATGTCTAATAGCTGAAGTTAGTAAGTCATTTTTGGTTTTGGCACCTCAACAGACATGTTGCTCTTTCATCATCAAGGAGGTGAAAGACCACTCACATACCACACACTTTGTTTGATCCTCTGAATATTCTCCTAACTCATCTAAAGTAATTTGTCTTCGCTGACTCCGTATCTACCTTCTGTAAATATTATCTTTACCTGCCTGCAATGAAAACACAGTTTACTAGCTTTCCACAGAATTCAGTCATTTCACATCCTCAACGAAGTCCCCAGATCCTAGTTCATCAAAAATCACATCACTGATATCGTCTCTTTTGTTGTTAGCCTCTTCATGATCACTTGGCTCAATTTCATCAACACATTGACTCAATTGTTCATGGGATCATTTGGCTCTTGTTCTTCACCACATTATCTTGAAGCTGTATTACTGGAAACAAACTTTGGCTGCTGAGGGTCAGTCATGTCAAGAAGGACTGAATACATTCTCGAATACTCGTAGAGTTGAATATAATTGTCTTCAAACACAACTTTATTGGATCGACCAAGTTTTGAGAAAACTTCATCTACTGCCTCCGAATAATCGTTCATCAGTTCATATACTTTTTTTCAACCTAGGTCAAATATTGAAACCACAGTACTTGCCACCCCACCATTATATTGCATAGCTTGTTGTAATTTCAATGGTGATATCAAGTTATTGCCCATATTCACATATTTAATAATAAGATGCGTTGCTATTGCAAAGTGTGCATTGATACTTCATTTTCCATCCTGTGTCTCTGTGTGTACGAATAATTTCAATTCAAAACTGCATGCCTCTGCCAAAAGTGCCATTCCCAATATGAGATGTCCATTTTCATAGCATTTTGTGTTGTTGGATTGAATGAACAATTTTTTTACTGCAGAATAGTCTTTTTTTCGTTTTCTTCATGATGCCTTCCAATATTGATAAGACTGCTACCCAATCTTGCTGGGAATCTTCACCTGATATGTCACCATAGTATGATATTTATGTCTTTAGTTCACCATATCTATCTGATGTAGATTCTACTTTCATATACACCATTGTACCATACCAGCTAAGACCCTTTTTTCCATAATGATATACAGTTTTATTCCTTAAGTAAATGGGTTCATATTTCATCTTGTAATCTATAATGACTGTATTTCGTGAATACTCCTGCATTGATTCTCTACTCTAATTTGATATCCCATATACAATTTCATTTTGTATCTACAATCTTGAAATAACATATGATGTTCAGAAAAAATATTTTTAACAAAGTAATGACTTGTCCAGAAAGGCTATTGGCATTCTTCACATTTTCTGCTTGGAATTGGATTTCCATGACCTAATATGTATTTGATGCAATATGAAGTAGCATTATCCTTAGCAGTATGAGCTAAGTCATATTTTAGAAAATGCTTGAGCTTCGTCAACATCCACGTATATTTGTCTTTCAAGGGCTTTCGAATGTCCCAGTTATCTTACTCAATAGTCCCATATTACCATACAACAAAATTTCAGAAGCGTAATCAATAGCTTTTCGAGATTTATAATCAAATGTTGTTACCATTTTGCAGAATGATGTGTGTGATATTCGATTATCTGCAAATGTAAATTGTTCATTGTAATGACTTTTGTCTTGTAAATCATGGAAAATCGTACTCTTTTTTTCCATCTAAGTAAATTTTCTTTGTACTCCAAGATAAAGGCAAAATGCTGTTGGGACTCAAAATAAATTTAACAGTTTGTTTGACAACACTGGGATTATATCTTGCCACAGAGCAAACTGGATTTACAAGCTCAAACTTTGAGTCAGTGTCGATTCACAGTATGAAATGCTTTTCTACCTACTCCAAAAGCTTCTGCAGTCATCTGGGTTATAGTTTGACATTGAAGCACCATTACTACTTTCCTTGGAATTGATTTTTTTGGTGAGGCTGCATGTATTTCTATCACTGCTTCCAAAAGGTTGTCTTTCTTACCACTTCCAGCAATTACTTCACCAACAGCTTGTAATAATCCATCAGGAGCTTTTGGTAACAGCCTAGAACATAGCACTCCTAAAGCTTTCATACAGAATGTAACAAGCAGAACTTTTCTTTCCAGATCATTGAACTTTGATTTATTACGTGCTTGTTCAGATGGAAAATTCGATATGGTCATATATTCCATTCCAAGAAATGTCCAAATAGTATGTAAATCAGTTCCTGATAAACAATTTGTAACAGTCAGTGTACTTGATCTGGATTTATGCTTTGTTCTCAATCTCTTTGTAGCCATAGTTGATTTGGCGGGTATAAGATCCATGTCTTCATTATCCATGCCATCAGAACAATCCTTGTCACTGCTTATTTGCATTACGGGAGTTGGATTTTCAATATCACTAGAACTGCTCATGTCTTTTGTGTAATCGATATTATCTAGTCTCCCTGGCTCGTGGAACCACTGTTAAGTTAGTAAATGTATGTTAACAAAATTTGGCAGATTATCAGTAAATATTACAATGCTTTCTTTCACAAAATATCAATTTTTTTTATTAAATCCTAAGATTTGTTAAGCAGTGTTTTTCTCATGCCTTTTTTTTTCCGCATATCCAATAATATAAAACTGACCTTTATTCTTTAAAAAGTGACCTGTCTTGGCTGTGTTTTAGTAGACAAGTATTTTGTAAAATAGTCACATTTCCATTATCATACATTATGTATATATACATATATATTATTACTATTTAGAAATAAGTTTTAAACTTATTTTTCTTAAAACATAAATAAAGAAGTAAAGCAAACAATTATCTCTTCTAGTTGTGACCATTGAAACTATAGGCTTAGTATTTTGACATCGTAAACATCTGCATTCAACATACCACATGACACAAAAATTGATGTTTAACTGTTTTTTAATATTCACTTTTAAATTAAGAAATTAAATAATGTATAATACTAAAATTTTAACAATAATTACAGTCTGATACTAAATTTATTTTCATGAATTAATGAAATAGTAGTTCAAAAAATTTGGAATGCGAGTCAACAAACGAGATGACATGGCCTTTCGCCTGTGTGTGACCCATATCGAAAGGTTTAATTAAATGTCAGTGATTGATATTAACATATCGCTTTATCTGGTAATCTGATACTCCTTGACACCCATGTCAAGGCAAGATAAAATGCAGCCCCAATAAAGTCCATCAGTTTCAAACTGATACACATGTGTTCATATTATATGGATAAATGAAATGAAAAATGTTAATAGTGAACTATGAGTTTACATATGAAAGTAAGGTTAGTTTGTTTATGCCCAATGATATGACATAAAGCAAGTAGTTGCCAGTACAACATATAGGCTGTTTACAATCCCCATTCATCATTTTTTTACTTGCTATCAGTTCAATTTGGGCAGACATATCTATGTATCAGTTTATGTATTATGTAATCCACACCACAAAGTTTATTGTATGGCCTTGTTTCTACAAATTCAATGGCTAAAAAGAATTTTAAATGTTTTTAAAGTTTTGTTTGTGTGTGTCTTCAAATAATAAATGCTTTTTGATCCAATGAAACTGGCCAGCCCACAATAGAGCAGGAAGAGAGCTATTGTTTGATGTATCACTGATCCTTATTGATCTAGCCAATTTGAAGCAACACCCTGGCTTTGTTTTTAACATTTGTTTGCTGGTTGCTGACAAGTGGCAGAGGATGGGGTTAGCAATCATTGTGATGTTTTTAAAGCCGATTTACAACTATTGAGAGTACAGTTGCCTTGAAATAAATTATGCAAGTTCAGCATGTATTACTACTGTAGACATTTCCATTTGTTTTTTGGTGTACAATAATTAGTATTTTATTTATGTGAAACTTGCATATTTGCAACCGAGATTTTGCACTCACACACTTCTGTGGCCAAGAACTATAATTCTCTGGGACCCCATGTTTTAAGAGAATAATTCTTCTATTTTCAGCTTTTTTAAAGTTATTTTATAACTACCCTTCATTTAATATGATAGATATGTTCAGTTATAACAATTTGGGATTGTTATTTTGTAATTTTAAGCTATTGTATATGAGAATGGATCATATCAGCACCTTGTATGATACCTATAATAAGCTTAAAATATGATTAATACCATTTTCTTGGTTTCTGAAAATTTTACAAGACTACTAAAAACTAAAAGTAATTCTTTGCTAAAAATAATTGTCATTAGATTTCATGTGATAAAACTGGAAATGATTTTTGTCACCGTATGTGATACAAAAAATATAATTCAGTGAAAACAACTTCACATCAATCCAATAAAAAAAAATGAAAGAGTATATCATTTGTTATTGGGCAAGAAAATTTGTGATGACATTACATGGCTTCTTTGCAGAAATTAAAATGGTTCATCAGGTGGAAATCAAAGTATAAGATATATTTAATCACTGTAATATGAAAAAATTATTAATTAGATGTTTTTTTCAATCATCAACTTTATAAGGATAGAAACATTTTAAGTGTTGATTTAAGTTTAGAAAGAACATACTAAAATGAATAATATAATCACATTATATAGTACATGCTGCAAGAAGCTGTAAAAACACGTATGCTGAAAAATTAATGAATGTAACCTCTTGTGCACGAGTGGGGTTCGAAGTGTGCCAAATACACAATATACAGTGATACTTAGAAAAACTATAGATACACAATTTGGAGGTTCCAGAGGTTATGCAAGTACAACATGCAAAATGTATGGTTTACAACATAAGAATTAGTCTTCTAGCAGATTCTTTGGATCTGTGGCTATTGTCTACTTATTGAAATATGTGTATTGAGATCCATAAATTTTCATTAGTTTTCAGACAATGGAGGAATACAGTTTTATTAAATTCCTAATACTGCTTGAAAAACAGATCAACACAAATTTAATCTAAAGAATCAAGTTGAATTTTATTTATTTATTTATTTGAAACCTTTCATGTAACATGTAAAATGATTTTATGGTGTATCATATAGAAAACCCTCTTGTATATTTCAACCAGATCTCGTATATATTGTTTTGAAAGGATTTTCACCCTTGTATAAAGAAGATTTTGTATTTAGGGCCACACATAAGAGCTAGTCAAAAAAAGCAGACTGATCCTCCCTCTATTCCAATCAGCGAGTTGTTTTCAGACAGTAATTTTCCTATTGGGGAAGAAATGCAATACTGCACACCACAAGATGGGTAAGTATTTGTCAATCCACTTAAACAAAAGTAGATTTTTATAGTGATGAAATGTACTTATTTTAATGCACTTTTTTGATTCTTTGAAAAAGTCAAACTATCAGTATTCTCTTTGTTTAATAGTAATATTAGAAAAAAATTCTTAATCTCTAATCTGGTCAGATCCCATTTACATCACTGGTAGTGAACATAAAAGTTACAGAAATAAATATTTTGGTGTCTGTTTTGAACTTTTGTTCCAAACTGTCATTGAATTGTACCTTTAATGATCTACAGGGTTTAGTAGTTAGAATCTGTTATATTCAGGTCCAAAATTCTACTGAAGACACATTTCATACAGACTAATTTGAGTCACTCAACATGCTATACCTCATTGCCTCCAGTAACAATGTAGGCTGATTATTACACTTTCTAAGATAAAGTCACATTTGACTGTGTCTTTTAAACAGCAAAATGAATAGGTTAGATCTAACTAATGTGTATTCAGAAATGTTTACTCACCTCTCTGCACAACAAAGAGCTATTACCTCACCACTGCCATGAACATTTTTGTGCATGTCACAAGTTTTGAACGAAGCTCCCACCCCTACATGTATTAGATTGTATTGCACCAGCCTATAATGTAATGGTCATTAGGCTATAGCCCTCCACCATTAGGAGGGTGACACATCCTCCATTTACAGTAAACCCCATGAGTACTAACATATGAACAAAGGTAGGTTCATTCTTTTTTTTTCTGTGCTGCTTGTCTTCATATGTGTATCAGTTTGTGTCTTTGTTTATGGAATTGCAGGATTTTTGCATCAGTTGTTATTTTACTTTCAATTAAACATCAATGCCTTACTTTTCTAGTTTGTACTAGGGTATTTTTTAATATTAACTTTATTTGCTACTAATCTACATAAAAAAATATTTTGTGGATCATTTTTGACCTTAAATTCCCAATTCCATGTTTCTGCTACCTCCTGAATCCTGACACTCCACTTCTGGAGTCCACTTCTGCAGTTTCAGTGGTGACTTGAAACGCTCTGATGGTCGGTGGTGTTACTGCCATTGTGGTTCATTCAGGGAGGTTTATTTCTCAGTTACATGAAGGAACAGTTATGCCTTATCCACCACGGTTTTTAGAATTATGTAATTTAGCCTACCACTGCTAGGTGGAAGCATATTCTGACTCAAATAATAATTTGTTTTTCTCCAGATATTGGTAGAAGAAGCACCAGCCTATGTGGGACCCTACTCGTAATACCAGTTCAGATTTGATGCTTGGCTATCCAGTTGGGTTGAGTGTGGACCTTCTTTTTGAATTATGTTGATTTAGTACATTGTTCATGGAAGAAGGTCCATTGTCTGCATAGTTTTTTCCATGTCCTCCCCATAATTTCAGGGGCAAGTAAAGTTTACCTTGCCTACAGGGTTGGGAAGTGAGAATGAGTGTTCATAATTCCAGACTACATGGGTTCTGTTTCCTTAGGTTGACTAAGGCATACCAGATCCCGTCATTCCAAGCCGCACTTTTTCAGGTTGAGGAGAATGTTTGTTCACTTCGGTGCTGCTTACCTTTTTGTCATGATTCCGGTGGCTGCAGGTTGGGATCCACTTTTAATATATATATATATATATATATATATATATATATATA